TAGGGGGGGGGGGGGGGGGGCGCACCTTTTGAGAGTCCTCGCGCGGGTCGTCGCCCGGCTCTGCATACTGCACGCGGAGGCGGCCCTCGCGGTCGTTCTTGCCGACCTGCAGGACGACCGCCTCGTACCACCGCTGCGGCCCCGCCGGCTCGTCGCGGAGCCCCACCTCGACGCGGCTGTGCCGAGCCACTGCCTCAGCCGGAAACGACACTGGCAGCCCTGGCAGCCGCGACCGCACGCGTGGGGCAGTGCTGCGGCTGCGGCTGCCTGAGCCGCGGCTGCGGCCGCCGCCACCGGCGGAAGAGGACGACGCGGCGCCGGGGGTTCCGGTGGATCCCCGCCGTTCCGAGGAGCTTGCCTATCAGGAAGGCCGGTCCGGGTTGGCGGGCGAGCGGGTGCGCCCACGGCGGGTCCCCAGTTTGAGGGGAAGGGGGTGGGGCGGGGGGGGCGGGAGGAGGGCGGCGGTGATGGGGGCTGTGCGGGGTGGCTTTGTGGCGCGCCTCGGCATCGGCACCAGCTTGACCACCCTCTTCGGACCCAGCTGCAACTGCGCCTTGCGCCCCTGACCTGCCTCTTGGGGCGGAGGAGGTGGATCTGCCAGCCGACGCGCGGCGGCCACCCATGCCACGAGGTGGGGGGCGAGCCTCGCAAGCACCTGCACGAAGCACAACGGGCGGTGAGTCGTAGAGAGTGGAAGCGTGGTATCATCGCGGACGCCCCTCTCCTCAGCTTTACCAGAGCCCCGTCTGCCCTGATCCTCGTCTTGGGCCGAGCTTTTCTTTTTCTGAGGATTTTTCTTTTCTCGACAAACTTTCGATGTGGCTGGAAGCCTCCACGTCGTCGGGCACCGGGTTCCTCCGCAGACATCTCCAGGAGAGATGGGCGACTCTCTCTCTCTCTCTGACTCTCTCTCTCTCTCTCTCTCCCTCCCTCCCTCCCTCCCCCTCTCTCTCTTTCGCGAGGATTTCTTGATGCGGGTTTTCTTCCGGGGACCCTTCCGGGTTCGGAGCGCGTTCCCCCCCCTCCCATGACGCGCTGGAGTTGAGTGCGGGTGGGTAGGCTGCCCTACCTATCGTTGTACTGAGGGCCGGCGGAAGCGCCAGGCACCACACGACCCCGGCCGCCGGAGGACCGGACCGTCAGAAGCTCCCCCCGAACACGTGTGGCAGCGCGCGGGGCCGCGTTTTGACACACACGTAAATACATAAACAAGCGAGCACTTGGAGCACTTGGCACGCCCGGCCGCTTTGAATTCTTTTCCGCACGATGGTGCCCACCTCGACGCCGACAGCGCCGCCGTCCAGCGACGCCGCGCCGCCGCCCGGGTCCGAGACTTTGAACGTGGACGGCTGGCAGGTCGTCGTCACCGACGGGCACGCGGTGCTGACCGAAGGCATGACGCACCTGCCGGGCGGGGCTTTCCGCGGCCGCACCTCTCTCGTCTCGGTCGCCTTCCCACGCAGCCTCACCTCCATCTCCCCCCACGCCTTCTGCGGCTGCTCCGCCCTCTCCTCCGTCACCCTCCCCGCCGGCCTCACCTCGATCGGCTGGCACGCCTTCTTGCGCTGCTCCTTCCTCGCCTCCGTCACGCTGCCGCTGCCCGATGGCCTCTCGATTGACGACGGTGCCTTCTTCGACTGCCCCCTCAACGACGAGGCTAAGGCAGCAGTGCAGGCCATCAACTTTTGGGCGGTGCGGCCTTCAATCGACGCACGGGGGCATGCCACTGTGCCGGAGGGCGGCACCACCATCGCCAGCAGCGCCTTCTCCGACTGCTCCGCCCTCGCCTCCGTCACCTTCCCTGCCAGCCTCACCTCCATCGGCGATACCGCCTTCTTCAACTGCTCCGCCCTCTCCTCCGTCACCCTCCCCGCCGGCCTCGTCTCCATCGGCGGCAGCGCCTTCGAGCGCTGCTCCTTCCTCGCCTCCGTTGCGCTGCCGCTGCCCGATGGCCTCTCGATTTGCGACGGTGCCTTCTTCGACTGCCCCCTCAACGACGAGGCTAAGGCAGCAGTGCAGGCCATCAACTTTTGGGCGGTGCGGCCTCCAATCGACGCGCAGGGGCACGCCACTTTGCCGGAGGGCCTCACCACCATCGCCAGCTGCGCCTTCTCCTGCTGCGACTCCCTCGTCTCCGTCTCCCTCCCCGCCAGCCTCGTCTCGATCGGAGACGACGCCTTCGAATGGTGCTCCTCCCTCGTCTCCGTCACCTTCCCGGCCGGCCTCACCTCCATCGGCAGCTGCGCCTTCGAAGGCTGCTCCGCCCTCGCCTCCGTCACCGTGCCAACCACCGCCGAGATCGGCGACGATGCCTTCGACCCCACGACCACCGTCGTCCGCCTCTCGCCTGCGAGCATGCGCGCCCAGGCTAGGGCGGCGGAGGCGGCGGCAAGAGAGGCCGAGATGGCGGAGGCGGCGGCGGAGGCGGATCGGAACGCGGAAGCGCTTCTGGCGGATGAGGAGGCGGAGAAGGAGGCGGAGCAGCGCGCCAAGGAGCGCAAGGCCAAGAAGAAGAAGAAGAAGAAGAAGGGCAGGGGCGGAGGGAGCGGCGCCGGGCCGTCGCAGCCGGAAGGCGAGGAGGCGGAGGCGCTTGCGGCGGCGGAGGGGGAGGCGGTGGCGGCGGCAGAGGAGGCGGAGCTGGCGGGGGCGCTCCAGGAGAGCGCGAGGCTGGAGGAGGAGAGGCGGGTGGCGGAGGAGCAGCCGCCCGAGGAGGCGCCGCCGAGGGAGGAGGAGCCGCCGCCGGCCGACTTCATCTGCCCAATCACGACCGAGGTGATGAGCGACCCGGTGATGGCGGCGGACGGCCATTCCTACGAGCGGAAGCAGATCGAGCGCTGGCTCGCGGCCAAGTCGACGAGCCCGATGACGGGCGAGGCGCTCCAGCACACGCACACCTTCCCAAACCACGCGCTGCGCCGGCAGATCCGAGAGTGGCAAGAGGCGCATTGAGCGGTTTCGCGCGTTCTCGTGGCCGGGGGGTGAGGGGCCGGTAAGTGTTGTAACATGTTCTTTTTCCGCAACGGCGTGTAACCACAGGCACAGCAGCACTTGGTCCAGCAGCGCGTCTTTTTCTCTCGGCCAGTATCTCCACAGAAACAGCACGTCGTGCAGACGAGACACACTGTACGCGCTGCACACGCCCCGAGGCCGAGCTCTGAGTCACAAACGTGAAACGAGTCTCAGTCGACCCGCGCAGACCCCAGAGAATCCCCCCCTCGCCCCCCCCCCCCCCTGCCCGGTCGCCACTGCCCACTGCGTCCTTTTTGCGCGCGGCTAGGCCGCCTCCGCCTTGGCCCTCGCCGCGGCCGCTGACGCGCGCCTCGCCTTGACGGCAGCCAGTGCCGCCTCTGCCGCCTCCGCCGCCTCCGCCGCCGCCGCCACAGCCGCCGCCGCAGCCGCCGCAGCCGCGGCCGCCTCCTCCTCTGCCGCTGCCAGAGCGTCCGCCTCGGCTTCCGCCTCCCGGCGCGCCTCCGCTGCCACCCAGGCTGCCTCCTCACCCGCCTCCGCCGCCTCCTCCTCGCTTCCCTCACTCGCCGCCTCGGCCTCCTCTCCCAACGCCTCCGCCAACCCCGCGACCGACGTCTCCGCCGTGATGCCGTACCGAATCCGCTCCTCGTGGAGCGTCTCGAGAAGCCTGATCAACCCCTCCCTGTCCACGCTTCGCGGACTTGGCTGCAGCTGCCTCTGACGCCGCCTCGTGCTCCTGCGACGGCCCAGCGCCGCCGCTCCCGCCGCCCTTCTTCTTCTTCTTGCCCTTCTTGCCCTTGCCGCGCTTCTCCGCCTCGACCTCCGCCAGCAGCTCCTCGGCGTGCCGCGCCGCCTCCGCCTCCGCCGCCGCCCGCTCCGCCGCCCTCTCCGCCGCCCCCGCAGCCCATGCCGCCTGATTCGCCGCCGCCTCGGCCGCCGCCTCGGCCGCCGCATGCTCCTCGAGAGCGCGCACGCACTCGGCGCTGCCCTCTTTCTTGGCAATCTGCAGCGCTGTGCGTCCAGCCACCGTGCGCAGCTTCGTGTCGGCGCCCGCCCGCAGCAGGCAGCGGAGAGCGGCGGGGCGGTCCACGAAAGCGGCGATCATCAGCGCGGTATAGCCGCGGCAGGCTTGCTGGTCGATCTCCGCCCCGCACCGCACCAGCAGCTCGGTCACCCGCTCGTGGCCGCTGAGGGCGGCGTGCAGCAGCGCAGTGCGGCCTTCGCTGTCCCGAAGGTTGACCGAAGCACCACGCTGAAGCAACGCCACGGCCAGCCGCTCGTGGCCGTAGGCGGCGGCAGCCATCAGTAGCGTAAAGCCGCTCTCACCCTTCGCAGTGAAAGTCGCGTCCACCCGCCCGCCGCCGTCGACCACGCCAGCAACGTCGCCTCATTGCCCTCCTCAGCCGCATCCACGACCTCCTCGGGGACGGTGTCCTCGCCCGCTCCGCTCTCCACACCGCCAGAAAAGGACGCGGCAGTTGGTGTCGCCGCTGCCCCCTTGCCCAAGGCGGCATCGCCGTCCGCCCCTGCGCCGCCCGCCGCGCCGATGTCATCGGGAACAGGCCCGCTGCTGCCGCCCGAATCGCTGCCTGCCCCCGCGCCGCCCGCCTCGACCGCCGCCGCGTCGCGCCTCTCCGCCGCCACCTCGCCGAGAAACGTCTTGACAGCGGCGACGCACTCGGTGTGGCCCTTCTCTTTGGCGATCTGCAGCGCCGTCTTGCCCGCCGTAGTGCGCAGCGTCATGTCTGCGCCCGCCCGCAGCAACTGGAGCACGACGACAGGGTGGCCGAAGAAGGCGGCGCCCGCGAGCGCAGTGCATCCGTCGCTGTTCTGAACGTCGACCTCTGCGCCGTGCCGCAGAAGCAAGTCGACCACGCGCTCGTGACCTCCGGTGCCGGCCAACATCAGCGCGTGAAGGTCCTCCGCGCCGTGTTGCAGCAGCAGCTCGACCACCCGCTTGTAACCTTGGTGGGCAGCGAGCATCAGCGCGGTGCAGCCGCCGCTCTCCTGCAGGTTGACCTCCGCACCGTGCATCAGAAGCGTCTCGACCACCTGCACGTGGCCCGAGCAGGCGGCGGCAGTCAGCGCCGTCGCGCCGTTGCTGTTTTGCGCGTCAGGCTTCGCGCCCCGCTTCAGCAGAACCTCGACCAGCTGCTTGTGACCTTTGGTGGCGGCGATCAGCAGGAGCGTACAGCCACTCACACCGCCACGCACGCATGTCGCGTCAACCCGCCCGTCCCCAGCGAGCCACGTCTGCACCACGCCCGCCTTGCCGTCCACCGCCGCTGCTTGGATCTTTTTCGGCAGCGCGAGCGGCGCAGCCTGTGACGCCGTCGAAGCGCGTCCGCGCCGGGACGCGGTCCCGGCTGAGCCAACCTTCGTTCGCCCTGGCATACGACGACCTGGTGAAAAACCGCGCCAAGAGCTCGACAGGCTCAAGAGCTGGGTTCGGCTCCCGGCATCCCCAGGGCGTCGACGCAGGCGTTTCCGTTTGTCGTGAGCGGCGAGGTCGGCGAGTGAGCTGCACAAGAAGGGGACCGAAAACAACAAAAATGCTGGCCACGCTTTGGGCGAGAGAACCGCCGGCTGGCAGCCCTTGCGCAAAAGAAAAAGCGGAGTGCCAAGGCCGCGGCGTGCGCGGCCAACAACTACGACTTCATGACGTGGGCGGCGAGCACACGCGGCGGCATTGGCCGCGAGGCGGCGGAGTGGTTCACCACCGGCTTCGCCGCCAAGGTCGCCCTGGCGCGCTCCGACGGCGAGAAGTGGCGAGTGCGCAACGAGCGCAAGCGCCTCCTGCAGCAGCACTCGGCCATCATTGCGAGGCGCAACTGGGAGATCACCCAGCGCAACGCGTGGCCGAGGATGGGTGGCGTGGCGCCGCGAGCGCCGCCAGTCGAGTAGTAGTAGGGTAGGCAGTAGAGGTAGTCGTCTCAGTAGTGTCCTGTCAGAGCGTCCCGTGTCGGTCAGGCAACGTCTGTCGGATAGCAGGAGAGAGTGCGTCGTGTGTCGTGCGGATCAGTCCTGTCTGGGTGGGGGGGGGGAAGAGACGGAGAGGAGATTCATTGAGCCTTGGCACCAGCCGGGCAGTGGGTTTGGCCCTGGCATCAGCCGGGCATGTTGTTGATTTGGCCTTGGCATCAGCCCTGGCAGGCGGGCACGCGGGACATGCACAGGCGCCAAGGGGCGCAGAACCGACCTAACCCGTCGGAGGTGGGGGGAAGGGAGTACCGCCGGGTTCCCCTGCGTGAGCGCAAGAGTAACCCCAAGAGGGCTGAAGATGAGCGGTGCGCGCAGGGGTCGGCGTGACGGGGCGAGGGACGCGCCGCGCGGGGCGCCGCCTCACCGGCCCAAGTGGCGCAGGGCGAGGCGGCGAGAACCGAGCGAGCACGTCCTCGTGAGCCCCGTGGCTCCAACCAGGCCCTTCCTTTTTTGAGCAGGTGTGACGCCGCGCGAGCGACGCTCCGAGATCGCCCGAGATAGCGCGGCGCGGCGGTGGGTGAGGTGGGGTGGGGTGAAGTGACGTGGCGTGGAGCTCCGGGATTGCGCGCGATAGCGCGAGATCGCCCGAGATCGCGCGGCCCGAGATCACGCGGCGCGGCCCGGGGCGGAGTGGATGGGTTGGGAGCGAGGGGGCGGAAGTGTTCAGTGCGGTAGATCGGTCAGTCGGGGCGCGTGAGCCGGACTTGGGAGCCGGACAGCTTTCATTTCTCTCTGCGTTGTTGAGCCAGGACTCAACATACTCGTTCTGTTGCCGTCCCAAACTGTCACTCCCCTCTCTCCCGGCCGGGGTGGGGCGCGCGCGGGGGCGGCGGGTGTGCGGCGAGTGTGCGGGATGTCTGTGGGCCCGAGAGCGATATGCCATGTCCGCCTTGGGTTGTTTCATAACATCGAAGGCTAAGCTCAAAGAAAAAGTACGGCGCCACAAGCAGCGGCCGCCCCGCGTTGCAACGCCGCCCCGCCTGCGCAGACATTGCGCAGCCACCGAAATTGTCTCATGCAGAGCGTAATCGACGACGTCTTTGCGGCTCTTCGTCCTCCCGAGGCGCCTCCAGCGTCCGCGACAGCGCCGGCGCAGCCGCTGGCACAGGCACGCGCACCCGGCTTCTGCACGCATCGAGTAAAGCTGCAAGATTCATGATCGAGCATCCGCTGGCGGGGTCGTCCTTCACCCTGCCTGCCGCGTACGGCGATCGCGGCGCCTTCAGCATCCTTGGCTCTCAGGGGCAGATGATGCGCATTCAAGACGAGATTGTTTCATGCGCGGACAGGAATGCGAGTCTACATGCAGCGCCTCGGCTTCTCCGGCCCCGTTCGCTGGTGGCATCGCCAGGGGCTATGGGGTCAAGCTCAGGCTCATGGTGCGCACACGGAGAGATCATGTCCCTCCCGCCTCCGGCTCCGCGCTCCGGTCGTCCCGGCTCGGCCCCAAGCCGTCGATGTCGACGCAGGGCCCATGGTCCGCCTCAAGGTGAACTGCGTGGACCAAGAGAACTCGTCGCGGTGTACGCGGAATGATGATTTATTTCCAATAAGTTTGTATACCGAAAACAACAAACAAAAGAATCTGTGTGTGGGAACCATGAAGCGGTGGGCGTAGAGACCGCGGCGCAATCGGGGAGAGAGAGACACAAACGACACAAAACATAGACATACACCGGGGGAAACGCGGTAGCACAGGGGAACAAACGACGAGTCACGTCGAGGGAGAGAGCCCCCACAAGAGGAAAGGGGGGAGAAGGGCGCGGGAGAAGAGGGCGGGTGTGTGGCGGATGGGTTCCTCGGGCAGTGCACCGGCGCTCGGCCGTTTTGTGCAAGGGCTGCCGTCATCTGATGCGAGGCCGCGGTAATTTGCGGCCGCGCTCCGCCAGGGCTGGGCGCGGGTCCGCGCGCCGGTCCACGAGGGGTGGACCGGCGCGCTTAGGATCATCCGACCCGCTTGAACTCCTTCATGTTTGTGGTGTCGTGGACACTGCCGAAGAAGCGCAGCCGGTGGAGCGTGGTCACCTCGCTCTCCTCCTGGTTGGAAGGCGCAAAGAGCGTAAGGGTCGAGACGTTCTGGAACTTGACGTACTGGAGCAGGAGCGGCGCGCCCGACCGGCGCGCCTCGTCCAGCGGCAGCGCCTGCAGGGGCTCCTCCGCCTCGGCGTCGTCAAATCCCATCGCCGTCCGGTTCAGAAACAGGCGTATCTCGTCGGGCGCTGAGCCGGGGCCCTCGAGCACGATCGAGTGGAGCTTGACTGCGCTTGGGAAGGCGATGGTGATCAGCAGCTGCTCATCGCAGTCCGATCTCAGCTCTCCGCCGCCGCCCAGAACGGCCGCAAGCGCCGCCGGGTTCGACGCGTTGAGGACCTCGCAGCGCGAGATGTCGAGCGAAAGCTCGTCCGGCCCGCAGCAGGAGGCGGCGGACTTGGCCGGCGGGGCGCCGCCGGTGGGGACGCCGTTGATCATGTGTATATCCTCTGGGAGATGGCAAAAGAATTCTACGAAGTCAAGCCCCTCTCACAGCAGACTGGCACGAAAGAATTTAACGATGGCGCGACTGTGCCGTACGAAAGTGCGTTCTGGGGATGCAGAGCGTGCAAAGGGATGAGGCCACAAAAGAGGCGCGCGAGGCAAGGAGGAGACTCGGAGAACTGAGAGACTGGGACGACTGGAAACAAGAAGACAGCGAGCCACCACAGGCGTCGCTAGCGCACATACCGAGAGGCAGCTGCGCTGGAAATAACTAATAAGGAAGAGGCGCGTCACTTCATGCGGAAGCTCGACAAACACACGGCGAGGGCGACAGCAATAGTCGAACGGGCGGCGCCGGACTCAAAAGACACCGCCACATTCCTGAGACGCGCGAGGGCAGCCTCCTTAAAGGCAATGGGGTCTAGATTCGGAGCGCTCGACGAAGGGGAGTACGACAAAATAGCGCCCGTGATTGCATGCACGCTGCCCGCACTCACGGACCCCATACCCGAAAGAAAGAGAGGGGAGCTCACGGGGGAGGTGACGAGTGAACTACAGGTAGTGGGCAGGTAGTGGGGAAGGCAGCCTCGATTGCCATACAGACATGGGTGCGAAACAACGACAAGACCAAGGCACGGGCAGAGGAACGAGAGAAGAATATAGGGTGGATAAAGCGCCTGTTCACGGCATGGAGGGTGAGCCACGCCGAACGTACTGAACGTAGAGCCGAGCGGAAGGAAGAGGGGGAAGCGACTCCGAGGAGGACGAACCAGTGGAAATCCCGTTGTCAGCCGTCACGATGCACCCGAAGGGGACCCCAGCGCCGGCATCATCCGTGAAGGCACAAGTGTTCGAAGAGAGAGTGGACCTGAGCAACGACATGACTGGGCGGCAAATGATCGCAGTGGGCGTCAGAAGACTCGTCCTTGCTCCCTGGGGTGTCGACGGGCCCCCGGGGGCGACGGGGGTGCTCTCGCGGGGGGTCCCCCCAGTCAAGGGGGTCTGGGGCGCAGCCCCAGGTAGCCCGCCGCAGGCGCCGATTTTTTGGGGCTTTTTTGACTGATTTTCATGAGGTGTTGCTACTATTTTGGGACCAGTTGAAGCCTAAAAATGGCTACAAATACAGTCACAGCAGCTGCTCGTCATGAGCTGCTACTGTGTGGCAGAGCCCAGAGAGAGGGCTTTCAGGAGCACTATTCAGTTTGATCCAGCTCAACGTTGCGGAGTAGTAAGACTGTTCCGTTGCCGTGAGCGGCCGGCGGCCGGCGGCGGCCGGTGCGGCACGCGGAGCACTCCGTGAGCGGTGACGGGTGCGGACGAGCGAATGAGAGGTCCCTTTCAGTGAGAGATAGGCAGTCCTAGTCCCTAACAACACACCTTCCACAGATAGCGACCTCTCATTCGCTCGTCCGCGCCCGTCACTGCTAGTCGGGGCACTCCCGGCGTACGGCCCGGTCCCGGTCGTCACTCCGGTTGCTCGTGTTCACACCGTCAGAACTCAGCTCCGCTAAGGATCCAGCGTCTGAGACTTGGTCATCTTACACAACTTTTGTAGTAGAGCACAATGGCACCCTTGCATCAAGTGCATCACTTCATTAATACCGTATATACCGACCCCCGTTTTCGGCCGCCGCGGCCGGAGAGCACCCCCGTCGCCCCCGGGGGCCCGTCGACACCCCAGGCCTTGCTCGAGGAGAGCTCGATAGACTCGAGGGGCCAGGATATGCAGCGAGGAGGGCGGAGCTGCGCCGAAAGGCGAAAGAAGCCGAGAGAACAAGGGACCGGCAGGCGGCGGCGGCGTCGCAGAACGAGGCAGAGGAGAGCGACGCGACAGAAGAAGAAGCGACACGGGAAAGAACAACGAGAGTGGGACGACCGCGAGGTGGCATGAAGGTTGCAGCGAGAATCGGCGAGAGACTGCGAAGAGAGATAGGAAGAGGCGGACGCCCAAGGGTGGGCGACGGCTAGCGCACCACACCCCTCTCCTTAAAATCCCTGTGTGGTGGCGGCGTGTCGTCCTCCCATCCCTCCCTTGGGTTGTCCGTTTTCTTCCTCTTTTTGAAAGTGTGAACAGGTTGGAGCAGCAGCTCCTGAGCACGGCGCCGCAGGCGCCTGTTGATAGGTCCAGGTGATAGCCCTGGATGGGCAATGCATACGCCTAGTTGGGCCTCAGATCGCCCGACCGCGTCCCGCGGTGCTCTGCCGTCGGATTTGTGACGCCGCCGCACCGCGCCGCGCCGGGGGCCCTCCGGAGGCCGAGGATGGCCGTGACGGACCGGGACGAGCTCTGAGAGGGTCAGTGTCAGTGTATATATTGTAGAAACCAATCATGTCCACAATATCTCTCAGTCTAGCTAAGCCTGGGAAGGCGATGCCGGGGCCGTACAGCAGCTTGATGGTGCTTCGCCGGCGTGCGTCCCGGAGCAGACCCGGACGCGGGCGGTCCGTGGGAGGAAAACGAAGATCAGCGCCGACGGCGCTCTGATTCGACTTTTAACTTCAAACAAAGACAGTCGCACGCGCCGCAGCGCGGCGCGTGCGACTGTCAGGAGCGGATCCGTCAGTTAGTCGTGTTCACGCCGGCATCGTGATCCTCACAACCTGCGCTAGGCCACAACAGTATCTCACAGCAGACAGGCTCGACACAGGTGCGAACTGGCGCGTGCTAGCACTATCACAGGCACACCACACCCTCCGCCTAAGCGACTCCGTTAAGAACATGGCAAAAGAATTATCCCTCTAGGCGAGAAACTTCAGGGCGGCTCGCACACACACACACACACACACACACACACACACACACACACACACACACACACACACACACACACACACACACACACACACACACACACACACACACACACACACACACACACACACACACACACACACACACACACACATGCATGCACAGACACACAGCCCCTTCCTCTCCCCCCTCAACTCCCCCTTCAAGACCTTCCCAAGGGCGAGGACACGCGCAGGCCGCACCTCTAGTGAGGCCCGCATAGTATGTGGGAGACTCATGCCGCCGCCCCTGCCACCCCTGTGTCAGTGTGCCCGTGGTAGTGAGAGACTGCCGGTGAGAAGCCGGAGGAAGGTCGCTAGACTGAGATGAGAGACCGCCAGTGGAGTTGGGATTCCACCGTGCATCGCGCTGCGAGCCTGTCGTGTCCCTTGTCAGGAGCAGGAGAGCCCACGCCTGTCCCCCTGATCGTCCTTCCAAAATCCTGCTCGTGCAGGTGGGGACCCTGTCCTCCTCCCCTATCCCTCGTTTGGGCTGTCTGTTTTCTTTCTTTCTGCAGAAGCGGAGTGTGTGTGTGTGTGTGTGTGTGTGCGTGTGTGCGTGTGTGTGTGTGTGTGTGTGTGTGTGTGTGTGTGTGTGTGTGTGTGTGTGTGTGTGTGTGTGTGTGTGTGTGTGTGTGTGTGTGTGTACTCACTCACACACTCACGCACCACACGAAGCGGAGGAAGAGCAAGAGGCAGACGCCCAAGACTAGCTCTAGGCCCAAGGGTGGGCGACGGCTAGGCACACTCTCCTCTCCTTAAAATAACCTTGTCAGCAGTTCACCCTCGGGTATGTTCGTAAGAACCACATACACTGAAAATCCCTGTGTGTGCTGTGTGGTGGCGGCGTGCCTGCCGTCCTCTCGCTCCCATCCCTCCCCCTTATATGGGGTTGTCTCCCTTTCCTTCTTTTTCTTTCAAACGAATTTCAAAAAATCCTTTCCGCTTTCCCGAAAATAAAACACCCTGGCACCGCCAAGAACAGAGTCGGCGTGTGGCGGGCCCGCCTACAGCCCGCGCCAGGACCACGCCAGCGCCGCAGAGCGCGTCGCGCTCAGCTGCTCGGACGCCTTCTCGGCCGTCTTCAGCAGGTCCATCCCCACTCTAGTCCCCACCGCCTCTGCGCGGATCACGACCGCCTCCGCCCCTTTTGCGACCGCCTCGGCGCCCTTGGCCACCGCCTCGGCGCCCTTGCGCATCTCCGCCGCCACCTCCGCCGCCTTTGCGGTCGCGAGCGCGGCCGAGGAGTCGCGCAGCAAGCACGCCGCCAGGCCGTGAAACTAAGGCGGAGGATGTCAGCAAGGTGAGGCGCCTTGGGTGCGAAGGGTCGGCTGCAAGAGTCGGCCGTGTATAGCGCCGCGCCTGCGCCTTGAGCTCGCTCTCGGAGCCGACGAAGCTGCGTAGCGCCCACCCGTCCGGACCGAGGGCCTAGAGGGAAAGCTCCGAGAAGCTTCGGGGAGAGGGCTCGGGGCGCCCGCGTGAGCCGTGACCGAATGCCAAGTGCTGCGACTTGTTGAGAGTGACGCGCAGGCTCGACACGCGGAGCAAGCCCACCTGCGAGCTTTGAACGACGTTGAGCCGACGTTGAGCCGAGGTTGAGCCGAGGTTGCGAGATTGGGCCGCCTGCCACTCTACCCCGTCGAGGAACCTCTCCTCGGAGCGGCGCGCCATCGTGTTCTCGACCCACCGCGTGCCTTGTGGACACACACAGCGGGCGGTCAGGGAGACGCCGTTCACACCTCGTCGTCTCTCCGCCACCCATTGGATGCCCTGGTGCGCCAGCAACTGCAGCCGGTCCGAGTTCTTGGCAGACAGGCCGGCCAGCTGCGCGGAGAGCCGCGTCAGCAAAGACGCACCGCCTGCTCACACGCCTCCACCCGTCAAGGCACGGGACGGGGTGGCTAGCTTCCGCCTGGCTTGTCCGCGCCGGAGCTGCTGCCCTCTGCTGAAGGCGCGCCCGGCTCGCCCACCCCGCACCAGTCCTCGTCGAGCGTCTAGGGTTATAGGAGCAGGATTCGGGTCAGGGTTAGGCTGCCCCCACACCGCACCATCCCTCGTCGAACGCCTCCGGAAAATCCTCCTCGTCGCTACTGCCTCCGCCGCCGCCGCCCACGCCGCCGCCGCCCACGCCGCCACCGCCTCCGCCTCCGCCTCCTCCTCCACCGCCTCCTCCGCCTCCTCCCCCGCCTCCCCCGCCTCCTCCGCCTCCTCCTCCGCCTCCTCCGCCTCCTCCTCCGCCTCCGCCTCCTCCTCCTCCGCCTCCGCCTCCGAGGTCGTCGTGCTCGTCGCGAGCTGACGCTTGCCCGCCCAGCGACTGCCCTCGCCAGCGCCGCCGCCACTCGCGCCGCCTTCGCTGCGCCAAGACAAGCTGCAGCGTCCTCTCGCCTGGAGCCATAGGGCGGTGGCGCGCGCCTCCACCCGCCGCGCCGCCGACCCGCGGCCCCGCGCCAGAGGTGGGAGGGTGAAGAGGGTCAAGAGGAGGGGAGGAGGGGAGGAGGGGAGGAGGGGAGGAGGGGAGGAGGGGAGGAGAGGAGGAGAGGAGGAGAGGAGGAGAGGAGGAGAGGAGGAGAGGAGGAGAGGAGGAGAGGAGGAGAGGAGGAGAGGAGGAGAGGAGGAGAGGAGGAGAGGAGGAGAGGAGGAGAGGAGGAGAGGAGGGGAGGAGGGGAGAGGAGGAGAGGAGGAGAGGAGGAGAGGAGGAGAGGAGAGGAGGAGAGGAGGGAGAAGGCGGTGGGGCGGGTCGCCGTCCCACTCGGCAACGAGCTACTCTCGGGTAATCTCGGGTAATCTCGGGTAGTCTCGGGCCATCTCGGTTAATCTAGGGCCATCTCGGGTCATCTCACCGTCCCACTCGGCAAAGAGCCGCTCGATCCACTCGCTGTTGGACGCCCACGCGCAGTCGCGCTGGTCTGCCTGCTGGCTCGCGATCGCACCCTCGACAGACGCCACCCAAGAGTCTCTCTCCTCGCGCGAGCCCGCGATGAGCGTGAGGCGCTCCTTGCCCGTGATGACGGTGAAGGGGGCGCCTGCCCACACAGTCAATCCCATAAGTCCGTGAGGCGTCCGTGGAGCGCTCCTCGCCCGCGGCGAGGGGCAGCACACGAGCGCGCCTTCGCCCCACGTGTGCTGTCGCGCCGCCGGCGGCGGCGGCGGCGTCGCGTCGGATGCCGTCGCGGGGGCGGCGTCTGTGCTTGCGACTCCCCAGTTTGAGGCGCGCCGGTCGGCGGTGAGCGCAGCGACGTCGTCCTCGCGCGCGACGGAGGAGGTGGGCAGCAGCTTGAAGGTGCCTGCTCACGGCCCTGGGCCTGTGAAGAGACTGCGCAGAGGAGGAGAGCAGCAGCAGCCTCGCAGGCTGCTCCTCGAGGCTTCCCCGCCGACGAGCCGGCAGTGAACCAGACGAGCGCCGTCGGCTCGAGCACGGCGAGCCGCGCCGACGGCTGGCCGAACCCGGTCCGAGGCAGCTTGAGCAGCGTGCCGCGGCGCAATCCTCCCTCCTCGGGAGAGGCTCCTCCGCCCCCGCCCCCGCCCCCGCCCCCGCCCCCGCCGCCTCGGCGGCCCTCGTGCGGCGGGCCCGCGCCGTCCTCCAGGTAGAGCTCGACGCCGTCGATGGTGGCCACCTCGAGCTCCTTGATGCGAAAGCCCCAGGTGAAGGCGAGCGGCCCGAGCCGGTTCTGCCCCGCAGTCAGCGGCGGCAGGAGCGAGCAGAAGCCGACCAGGCGGCGAAACTGGATGCGTAGCCGGCGGATGCGAAGCGAAAAGGGAGCCTCCCACGGCCCGCCCGGCCCATTTTCCACCTGCACGCCTGCGGCGGCGGTGTGAGCGGCGGTGTGAGCGGCGGTGAGAGCGGCGGTGAGAGCGGCGGCGGGCGAGAGGGCTGAGTGATTGGTGGCGATGTAGAACCTGTGAAGACGATCGACGTGCTCGTGATCCGCAATGACTCACACGACCACCGGGTCCCAAGCTTCTTTGTCAGAACATGTTCGAGCCCCCTCTTGGCGAGGCGCTCGACGAATGGCCAGCGAAAATACGCGGTGGTGGCAGAGATGAGAAGGAGGGCAATCAGCAGTTTAATGGCACACACGAAGAAGAACCAGTTTGACATGATGCAGCGGTAAGAGGAAGAAAAACACCGACCCGCGCGCAGGGGTTTGAGACCGGTCATGAATGAGTGCGCGACACGCATGTTGCGATCAGCGTTGTTGATGTTCTGCGCGACGCCACAGAAGGCGGCGTGCGAGCTGTTGTGTGCTTTTTTTTTCGTTTTAGCTGCTGTGCGAAGCCACGCGAAAGTGTGAGTGAGTACGCATACGCACACACGCGATGGATAAAGAAATTGATGACGGTTCCTGCGGAACTGGGAGTTTACCTTGTGTAGGGCGTGAGCTGCCGCCGGCCCGAGGCGTGAACCATCGCCTTGGCCGCCCGTGAACCGGCGATATGCAGCGTGTTCTGCAGCCTTTGACGCAGGTCGCAAGAAGAGCGACTGCCACTCCCCGGGCCGGGCCCTGGCGAGCGGGCGCATGGCGCCCGACGCTCTGCCATGACCTCCGGGAGGTTGAGTGGCGACCTCGGTGAGGTTTACTTAGATCTTAGTTCGTTCTACGGAGTGACAGCACCTCCGGGCGGTTTTAGAACTTTGATCGTTACTCAAGCCACACAGAACACCCGCTTACTAGCCTACTTTTCAGCGTTTCCGGGCTCGCAAAACCCGGCGGGTGCAGCGGCGCAAGACCTCTCGGAGGTCGCAGGCCGACCTCGGGGAGGTCGGGGAAAAACCCCCGTTCGGCTATCTACTCGCTCCCCCGCTACTCACAGACACTACGGCTGTCACGGGAGACTCACAGTGGCTACTGAGACTGTTCACACGTGACGTTCACACCTGGGGGACCAGGGTGTATCCGCAACTCGCGCAGGGTTCCACGTCAACAACACTTTTACTAAGCGATGCCCACCCACAGCATGACAGCAGCTGCAGCGGCGGGCGCCTCCCTGCTCATCATCTACCTCGCGATCCGCCGCCGGCGCCGCCTGAGCTCGAGCTTCCTGCCGACGCAATCCTTTGGCGCGAAGCACGAAGGGCTGCTCCGCGACGCGCGGCTTGACAAACTGTTGGTCATCACGGACTTTGACGCGGTGCGACGCATATCTGTCATATCCCGGCTCCCGGCTCCCGCCCACGCCCCTCCGCGCCTCGTGCAGACGCTCACGACGGGAGACTCAACGCAGTGCCACGACCTCGTCGGCTTCTCGGACCTTCTGGCGGCGCAATTCCGCGAGGGCTTCGCGCCGCTGCTTGACTGGCAGACCAACCCGCTCACCGACGGCGTGCAGTGGTGGGACACGGCGCCCAGACACCGCCGGCGCCGCCTCGACGTGGCGTCGCCTCAGACGCCTTTGGCCAAAGCGTAGGCGCACGCGCTGATGGTCAAGTATGGCCAGCCGCCCCGCTCGCTCATCCCGCGGATGGTGCGCCAGTCGAGCATGGTGCCCCGCCCCGGCGCGCTCAAGCTGCTGCACCGCCTCGCGCTGCTGAACGTGCCGGTGCTGATCGTCTCCGCGGGGCTGTCGGACGTGATTGAAGAGTTCCTCTTCCTCCGCCAGCACGACGCCCGGCTACAGCTGTGAACGGCGTCTCTTCACACCTCGTTGCTGTGAACAGGTTCCTCCGCCAGCACGACGCCCTCACGGAGAACATCACCGTGTGCTCGAACCGGCTCAACTACGGTGCCGACCTCGCGCCTCAGTCAGTGGCGCCGGACCCGCCCATCACCTCCTTCACCAAGGCCTCGGCCTACCGTGCCGCCGGCTCCTTCTTCAAGCACCACGCGGCGCGCCGCTCGCTGCTGGTGCTCGGCGACTCAATCACAGACATCGACGCCGCCACGGAGGTGCCGTACGACCACCTCATCTCGGTGGGTTTCCCAAACTCCCGCGGCCCAGAGGCGAGCAGATCGCCGAGAGATCGCCGAGAGATCGCCGAGAGATCGCCGAGATTGGCCAACTCGCGCCACGCGCGCACGTGACGGCCGCTGCGCCAGGGCGCCGAGCCGATTTCGGTGGCCCCACCACTCTCTTGTCACTGCAGGCGACGGCAAAGTACGCCGAGTCCTACGACGCCCTCGTGCTCGGCGACCACGGCTCGCCGGCGTAGATGCTGACAACAGTAGATGCTGACAACAGTAGATGCTGACAACAGTAGATGCTGACAACAGTAGATGCTGACAACAGATCCCCGCACTCCCCTAAGCACTCGAGAAGACACGAAAGACACTCACGCCACACCCAGACGCGGTGAAGAGTAATCTCTCTTTACACCCAGTCGCGGTGAGTCCACAACGCAGGCTCGCTGGCGGCGGTTGACGAGCTCGTCGATGACGTGATGGCCGCGGAGCTCTCGGCGAGCGAGCACATCACGCGGCTCTCGAAGCTGAAGCGCCAGCCGAGTACGGGCGCCTTTGGGGTTGACCGCCAGTGAGTGCGATGCAGCCGTCTGGGTGCTTCCTCCTGTCTTCTTCTTACCGGGGGGGGCAGCCCGCTGGAGAAAATAAATAAATAAAAACGGACACCTCTCTACTGTGAGATGGGTAAAAAGGAACAGGTGCCCGCCCTTGCGATCTTTGTGCAGGGTTCTTTGTGGAGAGGCAGGTGTGGCGCCTGCGCAGTGCGCTTTTTGTGGCCCCTGTGCGCGCCCTGGGCCCTGGCCGTGTGGCCGCGGGCCGCGCCGCGCGCGCGCGCGGGGCCGCCGCCGCCGCCGCCCGCGCGGCGCGTGCAGCTCGGTGTGCACGTGTGCGTGGGCCGCCAAAGCGGGGCGCTCGCGCGGGGTCGGTCGACGCTCTCCTGCATCCTGTGAGCTTTCACACACACACTCATCATTCTAGACACACTAATAGTAACCCCCCCCCCACCCACCCCCTGTCAAATGCCAGTGTGCGGGACGCGAACGGCGGCGCGAACTGCTCCCACCGCTAGAGAGCGCGCCCTGCATGAAGACCGACGCGCGCGGCCCACACGACAAGTCGACAAGGCTCAAACAGCCGGGAGAGCTCGTCGCGGCACATTCTTGGAGTGAAATGTAATGATCGGCATACCTA